CTTCACGTTCCCCCAAATGGTTGTAGCCAAACTTAGGGACTGGTCCTAAGATGAATGTATTGCGATTTTCCTGGCGCTCTATTGGAGCGTCTCCCGTAATCGTCTGAAATGCCGAGGCTACTTGAAGTAGTTCGGGGGCTTGGGCGGCGGTGGGCGCTACTATGGCGATTCCAGAGGGAACTATGCGCACATCTTTGATGAGCTCTGGCCGGTCAGTTAGTCTCCTGAGTCTTGTGCGGATGAGAAATGTATCTTGTCCTCGGAGCGGGTGATCGGCCGGTAGGCGTACGATAACTCTTGAGTCGACCTTAGGAGCTTTGGGGAGAGACTTGGCCTGCTTCGGTGGTGGTGCAGTAACAGTCTTCTTTGTTAGGGTAGTCTGAGCCGCTAGAATGGGGTTTCGGGAAGCTGCCGTCGCGTACGTCTGCTTCTGAGAGGTATCGGGACGGTTCTGATGAGTTGCCGGCCCGGCGCTTCGATTGGTTGTTTGAGGATTTTTACCTGTAGTTGTCTGATCGAATACAGATAGGCCAGCGATGACCCTAGCAGCACTACGAGTGACGATTGCCTTGAGATCTGCCGCTATTGCAGGTGGGAGGGAGCGGAGATGGATAGCCACGGCATTTTGCCAGACTAGAAGGGTAGTGGCTAGTTCGTTAGTGGTGGCCAATGATGGGTTGGCCACAGAGCGCTGTACAGCCGCGGCTGGGGCAGGCGCTTGCCTTGTGTTTCTGGTAGCTTGGACGCTCGAAGGGGGGTGGGTTGCTACCGCAAAAATGGATGAAGCAAGGCCTTGATCCTGAGTTGACAAGATCTTCGGAACTTTGGGCGTAGTCCGCTGTAAAGGGACGGACGGAATATGGCTGTTTGACGGCGGCTGAGACAAAATCTGCAGCGCGTCATCTTCTGCCTCGAGGTCCATGTATTCATCCTCAGAATCTATGTGCATGTCTAGAGGGGCGGGGGGAACTTGATTTAGTTCAACAGGCATCCGAGGTTCCGTGATGACTGTTGGGGATGATTGTTTATTACGCTTTGTAATGCGCGTGGATGAGGCAGCCCCTACTGGGCTGGGGTTGAGCTTTTTCCTCCGCCTTAAAGCAGGCATTGTCGCCGACTTGACGGTCAGTTTCCAGTTGTGTATCTATCGTAAATGGTATGGGTTCGTCGGTAGCGTTCGGATTCGAATGCGTTCTTGTGATGTGAACTTATATGTTGTGTACATAGTAGAGGATGGGCGAGGGAGTAAGAATCTAATGGAATCACGTGATATCAAGTTGCTCCCAACTACAACGGATCCGGTGTAGATTGGTTGATTGATATAAATTTAAGTCTCTACTGAGTCCTAGACTATGAAAGACTACTTGAAGATCTACCTAAATAGATCCTTTATTTATAGGTCAATTTTTAATTTGAATATTACAATTATATGCCAGCTGATCCTGAGTAGAGCTTGAGACTAATACGTGAATTCTATCTCCTCAAGTATAGGATATCTATGCGCCTATATACATCAATACTCTGCTACCCCATAGCACCGACCATGTGTCATAGCTGTATAGCTGCATACACATTAAATAATTTAAGAAAAAAAATTCTGTCATCCCTCAGCTCCGGTGATATCTGCTCTTGTGACTATGTAGATCTTTTCAGGATCCACATTTATACAGATTAGATTTATGTCGCGGTCCTATCTCTATTTATGACTATGGAGGACATCAAGAATCTAGTGACTTAGAGTATGTTAAATTGCGTTTCTTTTCGATTTCATTCTACTGGACAGTGAGGAAGTTCTCACGTGGAGCGGCCATTATCCGCTTGCTATCTTCTCACTTCAACCATTCAATTCGTGGCCACTTGCGGTCTATATCTGGCGGGTATCGCATAAAAAACCCCCCAGCGCGAGCTTTCCCTGTTATCCACATTTAGGCAAAGTCTGAAGATAACCGCCCTTCCAAATTGATCAAAGAAGGCAGTCAGTCCGACGCACCAGAGCTGTGTGACCTAACAATCATTCTCTTTCTTCCTCTCACAGTTTAACTCGACACAATATTGTGATGAGATGGGTCTTGAGGAAGAGAAACGTATATAATAATGTCGTGAATTGCAAGTAGTTACTCGATGCTATTTTACATTGATATTGAACAGACTCATGAAAGAACGCCGCCACGCCAATACATTTGCATATGATGCACCATTACAATGGGCAACAACTTAAATCGTTGAACTTGGCATTCACGACATCGATTATTGTATTTGCTTCTAGTTATTTTATTGATATTTAGCCATAAATTCATGACACAATACCAGTAAAATATTTACCGATTTGATGATATTTTTGACTTTGTAGAGAGACAAATCTTGGATTTTGTTTGCAAACACCACTCTGAGGTAGGACATGACCCTCAGTATCAACTGGCATATAATTCTGATATTCAAATTAAAAATTGACCTATAAATAAGAGATCTATTTAGGTAGATCTTCAAGTAGTCTTTCATAGTCTAGGACTCAGTAGAGACTTAAATTTAAACCAATCAAACCACTATGAGGTATTCCCTACGAACCTCCAGCTCTCACTGTAGAGTCTGCAGAGTTGATATTGAGTAACAAAGTCTTCACTAAGATGAGGATTCCCAATCGCTTTCGCCGTCTGTATCCTCTTCATCTCTCAAGACATTCCCCTATCACCATTATCACGAAGCTAACTACGATCAGATCAGATGGTAGGGTCGGAGCCCTACTCATCACCAACCCTTGATCATTGAAAAAGAGCCATCCGATGAGTTTCTGGAGCGTACCCATGCACCCGATACGGAGATGGCGGATTGGATCAAGGCGACCTCGACTGTCACAAAGAAGGGAGATAAAGATGAATATGCGCAACTCATGTGATCCCGGTGTCTAGACCTCGCCTAGCTGGGGCTGCAGGTTTCTTGAGACTTTTTCCCGCGCACGCAGTTTCCATTGCTACCATTTTTTTTGGGTAGAAGGTTCTGTGGAAAAGGTGGCCGAATTCCACGGGTAAACACTGAGCTGAATGACTGTTCATCGCTGGAAATATATCTGTTGGTAAAAACAGGAGTGATCGCTTCTCTACTCTAGTAGTGGACTTGATCTTTGTTGTAAATTGTATATATGTATATCTCTCTCCTCTCTATCTAGTTTTACAAACTACTTGTCCCGGGATATGCTGACTAATCATAAAACTAAAATTAAGTGTCAATCATACAGATGCAAACGCCAGTAACCAATCCCAATAAATATAACTACAAAGCTAACATTTCGACAATATCCATGATCTTTCAAGAAATATGTGAGGCAAAGAGCACTGTACAAGGTGTGGTCTGGGTAAGAGAGAAGCCTAAAGTGTTAGATAGTCATAGACCCAAGTAGTACAATAAACACACACACTCACTCACTCTTTCTTCATAGCCTCGGCGCGTTGTGTGAGTCCTGTAGATGTTTGGGATGTCTGAGTCATTTGTGAAAACCCGCCGAAGACGAGCAATGTCGGGACAAGACTGTCTAGACCTGCGGTATCGTTAACCGCTTTCACAGCCATCTGGAGGATATTCTTTGCTGCCACGTTTCGTAACTCGACTGCCAAGATTTCGTACGCTCGCTTTACCGGTCCGTGGTATTTCTGGACCCTCCTGATCGAGTGATATGCCTCAATAGGTAATACCTCGAAATTGAAATTTAGCAGCTGTTCGTTATCTACAAACTCACTAGCTTTCAAGTTACTTCCTGCATCCTTGATGATGAAGTCTGACGGTCTGAAGTATGTGTCAATCCACATTGCTCGCAATGTTTCCTAGGTGACCTTGGCAGTCATGTTGGCTAGTAACCTTGCTGCTTAAAACGCAGTGGCTTTGTTGACGGCATGACGGACAGGCCTGCATTATATTGTGATAGCATAAGGTTCAGGAAAGGCTCTGACTAAAGGCAAAACAATGATATGATTGTAATCTATAGAGAGAGAAGAATAGGTCGGTTCACTAAACAATGTATATACATAAAAGTGGATCAATATTAGTCCTAGCGTCCATATAGCACGTGACTAGTGTCCTATGACATATATATACATGACGTCGACGATCAAGCGAAAATCGAAGTTACGTCTTCTCGCAGCGTGAAGCGGAAACGGCCAGGTGCCTTAGAATGGATCTGACACTGGTGATAGAACATGTTTATTTGTCGCAAGGTATCTTCGTTAAATTCATTGTACCCCGCGCGCGAGAGTAACCTGCTAAGTCGGTCTGCGGCTGGATAACGGAATCGACGATGGAGCTGCCGAAGCTCGGTTCCAGTCAGGTGACAAGCTGCGACAGCCTCCAGGTCAAGAAGGAGAAAAGGGTGTCCCAATTTGCGCACAATCAAGTAAATTTCTTGCTTGCCCTATTTATTAGTATGGACAAGTAAGTCTCTCGTATTATCGACAAACACACAGTGTTTGTCCATGTCAGTTAGACAAAGCAGGAACGGGGTGTTTGCTTGAACGACTGTGAATGTGATTATGCCAAACGAGATTTTCACATTGACCGTTCCCGGGGTTACCACATGGGGACTATTGCCGAAAGTTATACGATGGATACCTGCTGTCATGGTATCCATTTCGAGCTCTTATATAACCTTTTGGAGGGCTTTGACTTGGTTTTCTCCAGCTGTTAAAACTCCTGCCGCTCCTGTATCGGGCAAAATCCCCTGGAACATCTCTGAATCGTAACGGCAGTGAAACTGAAAAATGAAGCTTAGCTCTGATTGAGCTTATTCGAATGGGTCATTGGCTGTAAGAGTATGTGTAGTTGCCTGGTTCTTGGACAGAACAGCTGTATTCCTTCCATCGATTGTACCGTAACTTGTGAGGAACTGCCCGGTTTTGTCTTCAGACCACGTGTTGAACATGCCAATAAGGTCAGTTTCAACGTCATTTTGACTCGCTTCATAGCCTTCATAGTCGATGATGAACATGCCCAGGGTATCATTATCAACAATGAGGTCATTCTCGGCCATATATGTCCCCCAGCTTTTGATTCTTCCTTGACGTTCGCTTGAGTTGTGCCGTGTGGACCAGCATCCCAATTTTTGCATACGAAGCAAATTTTCTGGCGGTCGTCACTGCTGCCGAATCAACCTCGGAGTCCACACTTATAACCACCTCGGTCACTTTTGCCTTGGAGTCCCCCTCGCACATGGCCTAGCTTTCCATCGATGCTACGGTCGACAAAGTACTGTCCGTTATCTATTTCTTCATTATCGAAGTATTACTGTCTGATGGAACAGCCCTACATTCCGCAGTGTACAGTTCATGTGAACCTTAACAGTAAATCGTAATTCAGCGCAGGCATCTCCAAAATCGTCGTGGTGGCGGATTAATGCTTGATCGCAAGCTGATACGCCCTGGCACGCGGGATACAAAAGTCCAGCGAGACTGTAGCTTTTGTGAGCGTAGTTGCATCTAAGAGCTTCGTATATTTTTTGGAGTTTTTCGATAACTAAGTCCAGACATTGAAGGATATTTCGTCGGGGTTATTAATAATCACCTTCTGGAAAGTTAGAGCTCGCCATTCTGTCACGTAATTCTACTTTTCTGTCTTTGTGTGTAATCTTCTCTTAATCTTGTGGATCTTCTCGTCGAAAGTTAGGTCTTCGAGATTCTCAGTGAGTTGCCTGAAGTAGTAGTTGTGCGTGGCATCTTGCAACATTATAGGGAACGCATTTTTGGACAGGTTTTCCCCAAGCCCGACAATCTGGCATTTTTCGAAGAAGATCCTCGGCTTATTTTCGGGCAGCTCATAGTGCTTGGCTCCGAATTTATCCTGAAGATTGGTATAAAATTTGCCTAGATCCATCAGCGCCCTCGAGGTATTGATGGCTTCGATATGACACCTAGGTAATCAAGTTGAAGAAGGATTCGGAAGTGAATCCTAAAAGCATAAGATTTAAAGGTAACGACAAAAGTCTGGGTGTGCTGCCCTCTAATCTACTATTGTTCTTAGCTCCTCATGCCAACAACTACTAAGCTAAAAGTAAAACCCTAGCAATTGACAATAGCCAGACAGTAAGCCTCCTTTGATAAAAAGTAGCTAGTAATCTTCACTAATACAATATGAAACGCCTGGGGCACATTCATCTATCTTTGTGGCTCCTTGGGACGGGACGCCACATTCGGCAGGTGTTACTCTTGACCATTTGGGGATATTTGTCTTGTCGGAGTCATCGTCTAAGTCGATCCCAATGCTACCTCTTGCCTTCTGCCTCAATCCTGGTTTCTTCTTGTAGTCATCACTTTTGTTATCGAGATCTTCGTACCGCTCGGTTGGGTATAAGGGACATATTATTTCCTCCTCTTTTTCACCCTTGAGCGGGATATATTTGCTCTTCCCTGTCACAAACCATCACTGGGATGTCGTGTCGCACCCAGGCAACCGAGTTATGACGTGCATACAATAACACTATTTAGGTATTGTAATGGTTACAGTGTTGTGATAGCAACAGTTGCCATTTAGAGTACTAGTTAGTTACTGTGTTATGGCTGTAAACTACTACACCCTTGGTTATAGTATTGAAGCTCGTGTACTTAAGGAAGCTCTAGGACTGGATGTGTACTGTAGCTTTTTGTCTTGTAAATTACTAATGTTTTAGAATCTAATTATTAATCTAAATATCTCGTCCTCATTATCAGCCTCTGTCTTCGTCTCCGTCTTCGTCCTCGTCTTCGTCCTCGTCCTAATCTCCGTCTTAGTCCTCGTCTCCGTCCTCGTCTTCATCCTCGTCCGTGACATTACAAAAAGCTACAGTACACATCCAGTCCTAGAGCTTCCTTAAGTACACGAGCTTCAATACTATAACCAAGGGTGTAGTAGTTTACAGCCATAACACAGTAACTAACTAGTACTCTAAATGGCAACTGTTGCTATCACAACACTGTAACCATTACAATACCTAAATAGTGTTATTGTATGCACGTCATAACTCGGTTGCCTGGGTGCGACACGACATCCCAGTGATGGTTTGTGACATTACCAGCCTTCTTGATTTCGATGTCCGCAGTTGCGGTGTCATTATCATCGCCGTCGTTATTATTGGTTAATCTTACTGCGCTTCGTATCCCCTCGTTGTAGACAAGTGACTGAAATTCTATCCCGAATCTAATCATTTGGTCAAGTTCGCACTTCGGTCTCAAGGCACTGTGTCATCGATATTCCGTAGGGTACGAATAGGATACAAGTTGGGTAGGGGTCTAGAGTATAGTAATAGTTCCTATGAGGAGGTACAAATTCAGCGTAAGGTATATGGTGCACGGAAGTGGTAAAGGTAAAGTGAGTATTAGGTGAGATCGGTACAATAACACCGGTCTTCTTTAGGAAGAGATGAGTATGTGAATAATTGGTATCAGTATAAGCAGAAGACGTTGCATGAAGAAGAATAGTCCTTCACGCTGGGTATATATGTAAATCGGATAATAGGACAGCCCTAAGCTCTATCTCGAAGAGTGTTACTACGCAATTCCTATGAGCCGAGTGTCCTATTTGTTTAGGAACTCGATCTAGTATCGAGTTCTGTTTTGGCATGGAATTTTCCATGAGACACCATTCAAGGTTCCACTGCATTTATCCATGAAATTCGGCCACTGGGGTAAGTTGTCGATATTATTTTCAAGCAATGATGCCAGATACTATGCGATGGTCGATCGTTTGTTGGCCTCACATCCCACATATATTCCTCTTGGCATGAGGAATGTCTTGAATCTTCTAAGAATTGGTGGGTAGAATATGGCGAAGGTATGAATGCCCCACCCAGCGAAGTCCTTTTGGAAGATTTCAAGGAGCATATAGTTGATAAAGCCTTGGTGGTAATTGTCGATCCATGTAACAATAGTGATGTTCAAATTCGTTACTTTATCACTTTCGTTATCCATTCCTTCTGTATTTTTTCTTGTGATATATTGCTTCACCCAGTGGGCCTGAAGAAGTCCCATAAATTTTAGGAGCTTAGCTTGTCTCATCTTGTCATTTCTGGCGAGGTTTTGGAAGCCTGGGAGAGAATGATATCAAATTTTGATACGATATCTCGATTTTCACACTATCGGAACGCAACTTGTGCGACGGGCAGTCGCTTCCTATCACAACCTGTTCGAACTTGCCGATAGGGTCGTCTTTCAACGAAGTACCTAGCTGTCTGTGCTTGCTACCAATTCAAACACCGACCAGTGTTGGTATGACAGAGTCAATCTCTGTGATATCACAGGTAATAAGGATGGGGTTGCTACTGCAGAAATGGTGGCTGGTTCAGATGTGTATATGTATATGTATCTGTGAACGCCACCGAAGTGTCAATACTATCTGTATCTAATTGTGTGCCTAGAGCATAACACCAGCCTCGGGCCTACCGGAGCAAGTGCACCGACAATTCCTATTCTTGAGTATCTGCATTTCCCTCCACCTATTCATTCTGATTAATTTTTGACAGAGTTGTTGCAAATAATCATAGGGATGTGAATGCCAAATATTTTCAGAAGGCTTGATTTTATGGTTGCTTCCAAGTCTATTTAATCTTCCACATATGGTCCAGGACCAATGTAGAATATATGCTCGATTTTCTTTGTCTGCAATTATTAACATGAAACTACTCTGGTTCGAGAAAGCTTTGTTATTTGTGAATGATGAAACTGCGAGAACTATCACTTTCAATGATTTTGTGTCAAGCTTTATGACTTCAATCCTCTAATATTATTTTCCTTTTGCTACTTAATCCCTATAATCAGTATCTTACTATCTGATTTATTTAGATTGAAAATCTGGACAGCATAAGATAGATCAAAAGTAGCTTCTAATTGACACAAGCTTGCAGCATATGTCCGTCGGGCTCACTAGTTCCAGTAGCCGCTGTATAAAAAATTGTAGTACAAAATTATTAGTGATAATACATATGCCTCGTAGAAGTCACGAACGTATGACTTGAGATGTAATACGTTGGTTGAATTGAAATTAGTTCCGGAGATTGGTAGAATTACACACTAGCCTCGAGTTTGATTAAGAGATACGATAAATGTGTTTACTATACGAAGAAGTTTACTGATGTTTAATGGATAGTTAATTGTGATTAAATTGCTATAATTCTATATGTGTGGCGAGAAGTCCCTCTATATACATGAAAGCGGGGTTTTCCGCACACTAGTGTGAATTCCAACATACTCCCTAATCTAACCTAAACAGGAAGGTTGTTGGAGATCCTGAAGCCAATGTATACTGTTAGGCATCTATTGGCTAATTACTATTCATGCCAGTGAGTGATGGTATGGGTTAATCATATCTCATGGCGCAAGTGCATATTATTCTAATATGTACTATTTGTTTACTGCAGTCATGTTGCTGCCTTAATTACAACAGGTTGAAGTAGGAATTTTTCTTTGTATACCTCTTGTGATTGTAGGTGACTGACTCAATACAAAATCATTTCTATGACCCCATGCGCTCGTAAAGTGATAGAGAACTTGTTTTGAGCTTTCTCTGCGCCTTTAATTTTCACTCCATCAACAAGTCTTGAATTGTGAATTCCCGTCTGAATCGGAATATCTAATAATTTATCTAGTTCAAAGGCACGTTTTCCAATTGAGTTTTATCTTTTCCGTTGCCTGGATATTTGAAAAGAAGGTTTGTTTGTGGTCATTTTGGATATAAATTTTGAGTCCAAGTTTGAGGCATCGTAATATTGAAGAGGAAGATTGCAGGTTTGTGGTATTTCTTGGCGGAGTGTTGTTTTTTCACCCCCTTTAAAATTCTTAGTCTACACTGATTTGTCGTTATCTTGATGGTAGTCATCCTTGTGGTATATGAAGTCCGGCTCGTAAATCCTGGCCAGGTTTGAAATTTCTCTTAAATAATCAACGGGTGGTTGAGATGTTGCAGGAAGCGAGGCAAATTGTGGTTTATAGGTAACTTTTTTCATGACACACGAAATTTTATCTGAATCAAAAGTTGCAGTACAGTTTGTAGCTTCTTCAAAAGTCCATACTGTAGGCATTTCCTCTAACAAAGCATTATGTCAATATTTGGCAGTGGTTGTGTGTCTCTTTCCATCCCATTCTACCTAAACTCCTTTTGTCCTCAGGGGCAGGCAAAGTTCACGCTGGCTTGAGATGAATGCAATTTGGAAATGTGAAAACTCGTGTGTAAACGCTTCCCAATGGTTTTCATCCTTAAAATTAAACTCCGAGAACTCTTTTCTTTTTTCTTTTATTTACCTGATTACCGATCTTTGTCTATCTACTGGTGCATGAATCAATGAATGAAAGTTTATTCGTGACGGGCACAAGCCCTGCACTCAAAGAGCATGACAAGGAGAAGACTAGCTTCTCCGATGACTATATACGACGATAACTCAGTTTAACATTTAGACTACTCATATAGTAGGTGCATTTGCTGATACCACTCGAGACCTTGGTGCTAGGGACTTTCACCCTTCCCTAAACCGTTAATATCCGCCAAAGGGAAAACATGAAAAACCTTTAGCAACCCTAACATAACTTTGCCATCTTTTATATAGCCGCCGCGCGAGATATGGCCTCACAGTCCTCCCTTTCTCGAGCGAGGTAGGTGTCCAGGCTACCCAGGCTTTAATGTGGGGAGATGACGATCAGGAGGCGGACCAAAACACTTTCCATCGTTGCCAGTTTTTAGAGTGTCGGTTGCACTATCCAAAATCGTTGCTTCTGCACTCACAGACAATCTGAAGTCGAAGACACTCGAAAAATGCGCGTCCCAGCTATCTTTCCTCCCTCAAGATGTGAAGCCCCATTAGAGCAACGGTCCCCCATAGGCCAAGACCTGAGCTTTGTATACTATGACTTAGTTTCCTCTTCGTGGGTATAAATAGCGTCGTGAATTTATAGTTGAAAATGGTCGTTTTTAAATGAGGCAAATGCCCGATTTCAATTGGAGTAACACCATTATAGGCATTTGAGGCGAGATGGTGTAGTAAGATTGAGGTGGGGGACTCGCGTTAGAGAGATAGGTCCGACATTGACGAGAAGTCTTCGACTTTAGATATGCTTGAGGTTGCTTTCGACTTCGATTCGGAAGTTCTTAGCTATCCCAAATATGCAAAGCATACTGAGCGATTACACCGGCACCACTTGAAGGTGAAGAATTCGTCTTTCCAGCACAGCTTTAGCTCGGGGTCTGAGCAATTCGAAATAAATCTGATTCTTCACGTCGTTGGTATCGCACCCACCATAAACAATATCCATTCTCAACACAAGCAGTACTTCTGATCTAGCAGCTGTATTTGACTTCTACGAATGCTTAAAGCATAAACTTCAATATTACTTAAGTCCCTTGAACAACTCATCAAATATATCACCTTTCTTTGGTTTCTTTTTTTTACTGGATGACACATCACCAATAACTCTAGATCTCGGCTTCCTTTTTTTATCTGGTCTTGTGCTAGTTGGGTTCTGTATCTGTAAAGCTTCTTCTCCCTTAGTGAAAGGTTCATTGATGTTATCCCAATAATTTTCATTCTCTTTCGGAGAGCCACACAATTCTTGTCGCGGAACTACTTCTCCAGCATCTTGTGGATCGAGTACATCGTTTGAGGGAGGGGCCAGAGGTTCTAAAGCTTTGACTTTTGAAATACCAACTTCTCCTAGAAAATCATGGCCAAGCGTCTCTAAAGCATAATTAACCCGCGATAATTCGCCTACTAACACGAGGCCTAACGCTGCGTACTGAGAGTCGGCAACTAAATTTCCAAATGCCCTATACGTTTTATTAGTTTGAGCACTGCCATAAGTTATATATCCTGTAGCACGAAGAACCTTGAGATCGACCTACACAAAACACTTAGGTACTAGTATATCGCGCATGAAGGCAATGCGTTGAGCGAGGGCTACGCGCGATTTGTGGCCATAAGCGTTTTGAGTCGCGCCGCGCGCGCAGGTAGCTGTGTAGCACGCCTCCTCGCGGATAAGTCGAGTTATGTGTCGGCGCAGCTGATTAAAGCGCGAGTACCAACAGGCGGCACCGTGCTGGTTGTGATTTCGGTGATGTATAAGGTGCAGGAGACGTGAGCTTGCTACAAGATCGAAGGTGCGCGGGACCGTGGTCATGATCGTGGTTACGCGGATGGTGGGGGACGTGTATCTAGACTTAGGCGGTCTCATGATCAGGGCCTGGATTCTGAGCCCTGTGGATCTTGGATAGATGTACAGGGAACGAGTTAGCCGGATGTGGGAAACACAGTACACACGTAATCGTAATTATCCTATGACTTCACGCACAGCAAATCGCACTGTCAGAGCCCGCGACCACAGCAGTAGATCTACTAGCGTTGAGGAGTAAGGAGTAATCAATGTATATAGACACATAGACATCCGACACTTGAAGGATACAGAATTCACCTATTAGTCTCAAGCTCTACACAAGATCCCTTATAGTTAGGAGCCACGAGACACCACGTGATAACCTTTCATTCTTATACACACCACACCTTTTACTAGTTATACTACGCGCTCTCGGAAACTTCAGCCCTCAAAAGGGCGCTTGGCGCTCCTGAATGTGGGTCCTGTGTCCCGTGACTCAAGGTCGCGCACATTCTTGGACATAACACTTGTAGCTTGAACAAGGGAATAGACAAGAAACAATACACTTCAATAAAAGTCTTACATTTAGTAACAATTTTAAGCCGTCGTTACACAACTCATTTTATATTATATACGAGAATTGAAGCCACATACACAGTCAAAGGCCGCCAGGCATATCTATCCTCCTATCGGAGAACTATCATACCTGCACCAGCGTCTCATCAAGAGTCAAGATCTTTTGCGGCAGCAGAAATTCTTATAGTTGTGCTTTATCATACGCTGAGAACTCTGAAGCTTTTTTTTCTTTCCTATTAAAGGATTGTCCCATATTCAAAGGACGAAACAACAAAAATGACTCATGCCACAACCTTACGCTTATGTGCTATTGCACCATTGTCTGAATGCTAGTGATCCTGCTGTCGACCCAAATATCCACTTTATATTGCCTCTCAGACCTCATGATGTACTAGGACGCCCTTTAAATTTCCCGCTGAATCTAGAGTAGAGAGATGGAAATCTTTCAGCATTCTATCTATCATCTATATCCCAAAAATCATGTAGCGCTGAGGGGCATTTTTTTGCTAGTACACTTGTTTCGTATGATTGAGGAGTCTTTTTTTTATATCATTTAAGCGTATTCAGTTATAGAGCTATGACACATGACCGGTGCTATGTATACATGTAGGATGACTCTTTTGACGTTAGAGACACTCATACTCTTGATTTCATTCGCAAATACCACTGAGATACGTTTGCTTACACAAACTGTCGACCCTCCTCCATAAGTACCCACCAAAGAGAAATTAAAAACCCTTGGTTATCCAAGCATGCCTTGGTCATCCATACATACCAGCGCCGCGAGAAATATTGTTGTGTTTTGCCGGATTTGAACCAGCGATCTACTGTCTCGAGTGGGATATGTGTCCAAGCTATCCAGACTCTACTTGGCAGACCGGCCAAGACGATGTACCACCGCACCATCCATCCATGGCGATGTTTATAGTGTCAGCTGCACTCTCGCAAACGAAGTCTTGGCGCGCACAAAGCTCAATTTGTAAAAACTCCTTGTCAAAATTCTAAATTCCACGCCCGTTGAGACTGTATCCATCCTTCGTATCATTTTGTGAACTTGTCCTGGTCCCTCTCACGTCCATCCCAAAGAACAGTCTCCCAGATTTGTGCGCCATGCTTTGTTTCCTCTGTCGGGTGTAAATATCGGCATGGGCGTGTATTTGGTGACCGGCTGAGGCCAGAGAAGGTCGAAAAGTGGTGTGGTCATTGAGATGAGGATGTACTTGGTCGTACTTGTGGGCTTGATGAGACTTAGGTAGGAGTCTAACTCGATGGGAGTGAAAAAACGACATGGAGGAGTAATTTGAATCATTGCCTCGTGGACCAACTTGTTCGGTATTGCGAAGTATGACTGAACTTGGCTCTGGGAGAATATTTCACTCCCAGGTTCGTAGAGGACACCGCGTACAGGTGTTCAGTCTTGCCCTCCGGCTGGCTGGGATGTTAGTCCGAGAAGCGACTAGTTGGAAAACCCACGGCATATGCCACGATGGATCGAATCCTATCCCAATCTAGTCATCTATGAGCCCAAAAACTCATGACGCTGTAAAATCTGTTGTCGAGGCTCATGGCGAGAGGTAGCTTAACTCTATTAGTATCTTTGACCAGGTTAGTCTGCTTTTGAAGCCTCCACTGATCTCGAGGAGTGTGTATGCTATTTGTCCACAGGGTACTAGTGCGAGTAAATAGAGGGTAAAGGTTTTCCACAGGGAGAGATGGAATATCTAGCGTGAGAATAATACTGAGAAGACGGTGCATGAAGAAAGCATCTCGACTGTAGACTACGCTTTACAATATACATGCTCGTAGTTCACTGTTACGTTACCTCTCCTTACTCAGGCCTAGAAGGTTTGTATGCCAAAAGTAAACCATCATTCTAACCCCTGTTATCATTCCGTGAAAACCGAGTCCCAGACCTTGAATAATTGCTAGAAGCCATTCGTCCTGCTTTGGGTTTTCAAGGTAGCCTTACAATTTACTTGATTCCACTTTCTTCCATGAATACTAGATTTTACTTTCAGCTGGTTATGTGCGCGTGTGGCTAAAATATTTGTCTGATACCGACATGGCTTTGCTCTTTTTGAAAAGACGTAATAATATCCTAATTTCCGGGAGGAAATGGAAGGAATTCCAAGGAATGGAGCTCCTATAAATACGGCTCCCCCTCACGAGCACCTCTTGACCTCTTGTGGCACTTTATCTGTTTCCAATTTACTTTTCCGACTTACAAGTCGTGGCTAGATGGCTACAGTATTTCTTCTCGTTTGTGCAATACTTGGGCTGTACTCACTCGCTGCTTCAGCAAGAAATGGATCTCTGCATCTAGTTGTTCCCAGTACAAGCGGATATTTATGTGATGAAATATTCTTCAATACTATATTCCTCAAAGGGGAAGCCGAGAAAGCTTACAAGAGATTTACACATCAATCATTCCAGAAGGCTTTTCCTGCGTTGTTTGAAGACTTGTATCTATTCAATAAATATAATGAAATCCTTCTTGCATGGCCTATTCTGTTTCCCTGGGCATCTTATGATGATGGTAAAGCCCATACTCAACTTGTCTCCCTTGAACTTATGCAGCTGACTTATCGTTCAGAGCCAAATGCGGATTATCGTCTAATCATAGACTCCAATGGCGAAGTAATAGGTATGGTGACTGTAATATATCCTAAAGAAAAATCAAATCAACTGGAGTTTCGCAAATGCAAACCTACACATAGTTTTAACGGTGGAGATGATGATACAAGTAGGTTGCAAGCTAAGCAGTTAGAGGAGACATATCCTCTTGCAGGATACTTATGTGATGGGGCCTTCCTGAACAAGAGATCTTTCAGCTATACCATAGGATATCTTGAGAAATCTAAGACGAGTTCCAAAAGCATATCGGCTTATGAGAAAAAAATTTCCAAATACAGTGGCAACGAATTTTCTGGGGATAATCTCCTCGGATTTCCTTTGCGAAATTTGGATTCCAATAACAACCCAAACGGTGCACATCCTCCCTTGTCTGGTTTTTCAAATCCTTAATTTTACCCCTAGGTCCTATCAAAACACACAGAATTATTTTTCACCGCAACAAAGATGGGAGCATTTTAGTCAAAGGAATTGTAAGCAAAGATAAAAGTCAAAAAGATGACGGACAAATTTGTCCTAGTCTATGGGATTTATCATCATTATCGCAAATAAGCCCTGATGTTTCTTCTCCAATTTCTCGTAAAATGGCATTAGTGAATAACGACGGAACCTTCACCTGCGCCAAACAAGAGTTAAATATATCAACTATCCTGCTTCAAGTGCCTTTTAGTCTGCATCAGGCGCAAATCAGTGTAGAAGCTAGCGATGAAAAGTATCCAATTTTACAGTCTGGTAATCTATGGCTATGGCCTGTCATCTTCCCAGAATCATATCTCAGGAGTGAATATAGCCCCTCGAATTTAATCTTAGATTCTAACATCCAAATTCTAGGATCAACGCACGTGTTTGCAATAGGTTGTGACCTGAAATTTCAAGTTGTTGGATTATTTTATACCCGCAACACTCGTGTGAAAAATCCGATATTTAAACAATGCCTAAACACCTGATTAGTCAAGACTTTGATTAAATTCAAAAAGCCCGACTGGTCTAGATAGCTCTTTGATCTATCATGCCGGTTACCTAGTCTCCTACTCGGGTATGTAGCCTATCAAGATTATTGACAAATGGGTAGGAACCCTTTATCGGAAAACGAATTCACACAAAATCTTTCTCATCCCCGCAAGTAATCTTGTCAAAATATTATTTCAAATTATTCAAGACTCATTGAAGCTGCTTATTGTTCTGTTTCTTTGTAAGGCAAAGCGTGGGGCAATTAGCATCTTACCCATTCCAATGGGAGCTCGAGTAAGAGTAGGGCCGGACTGGATCAAGTTAACAATTATAAAGTACATGAATCTCGTCCCATCTGAATAATCGGCCCATCTAAGACATCACCTATGTGTTGAATGTGTCAAGTCCAACTGTTCAAAGCGTCGAAGTCCTGTCATTGAGTGATAGGGATGGGGTAGAGGTTTATGGGTCACGATGTTTGAGTTCCTTACGATTATTATCGTACTAGTTGAGGTGTTTTTTTCTCTATGTACAGGACTCGATCCTCAGCATCAACTGGCATATAATTGTAATGTTCAAATAAGAAATTAACCTATAAATGAAAGAGCTATTTAGGTAGGTCCTTAAGTAGTCTTTCATAGTCTAGGACTCAGAAGAGACATAAATTTAAAACAATCAAACAATCTCTATATACAAAAGGGATTTCTCCATCTACAAGGGGCCAAATCGCCAAAGTCTGGCTACCGGCTCTCGCCTTCCTGTTCCTTCTTGTAGTGTTGAGTTTGCTCATCTCACGTGATATAATGTAACAGAACATAATGTTTTTGAAATTTGAAACCGATTTCATTTGGCCCGATTTGGCGGCCTATGGGCCCATGCAGGTGTCTACGAACTCTAATATTTACATAGGAGGAAACCTTGCAGTAAAAACACCCTTAGCTGTCTGATTGGACTCTATGCCATTATAGTATTACCTCTAGGAAGTGCACTCATACTGTTGTTGCCAGTGTCGATTCCGTCCTTGTTCTGTATTTCAATTTTCCTCCCTTCGCCTGATTAACGCCTCGATTTCCCCGGTCATCCGAAACTGCTCTAGCCATCCTTCCTTTTGAATCCACTGTGCAATTATTGTAATATCTTTGACGTTATTTTCCATAGCTTCGAAAGATCGAGTTGTCGATTTTCGTAGCATCTCACCTCTTCCCTTTGCCAATCTTGGACAAGACATCACCATGTGCTTTATATTTTGGGACAGATATCCACATTGGCAGTATGGTTTTCCTACTCCTGGCACGTTCCTTCTGAATAAGTAAGCATTGAGCCCAATGTGCTCGCTTCTTACTTGTGTGGCAATGCTGCTCTGGGCCCTGCTAAGGTTTTGGTGGATTTGGATAGGTGACTCTCTATAGTTCACCATAAGTCTACCTGTTTTCTTGTCGTTGTATAAGTTTGCAGTATTCCACTTATCCAGTACATAATATTATTAATTCTTTTGGAATTTAGAATAATTGGGGCTATCAAGTAGGCCACGTTGTTGGTACATACGTGACTACAAATTCTGTACTTAGTTTGACTTCGGTAGTCATTTACATCAATTCGCTCTACAACCTCAATGACTGAGGGGTCATGATTTCCTTAATAAATTCATTACATTGTCCTTTCTAAGGCTATGGCTATATAGGATATGCAGGTCCTCTCTGCTTACAGGCCAAGGATACCTATACCAGTAGTATATCCCCTCCTATGCCTCCCATACAGCTCCCCTCAAACAGTACCACCCCTCACAAGTCCTCATTCAATCTTACACTTAAAGGAGCCCTTTGCCCTTCATTATCTCCTCTCTTCAGCCAACAAAACAATGGCCATTTGCGGGTGTATGGCAGCCGGGAAATATCGCAAAAACCACTAGGTGCGGGGCTCTTCTAACACCGACATTAGGACTAAATCCGAAGACATAGTGCCCCTTCTGAAGCGTTCGAAGAGGCCGGCCAGCTGGGCGCTGCAGACTTGTGGGTACCTCGGAGAATTCACACTCTTCCTTTCTAGCCTCCTTCCAACTCCTTCCCGAAGATCGTGCTGAAATGTCAGAAAAACCTTGACAGAGCGCGATTGCTATATGGTAGCTTAGCCCAACTTCTTTTGTGCCGTCCAGGGCGCTGGAGAGTGCTGTTGACTCATCGACAATAAAACCCTCCTCAAAATTACACAGACCAAAGCAGAATCATAGTTGGTAGCACTAAGTAGATTGAGATAGCCGACATTGGGAGCATCTTTCCACAAATCACTGCAAGTATACAACGCCATAGTCCGACCAGCCTTCACCAATGCTTCACCAATTTGGGCAGAGGCTGGACCCAATAGCAAAATTCTGGAAAGAATAATTTAGCTTCTGAGAACTATCCAAAGAAAATGTCTAAAACTTGTAACAGGAGCATACAAATCAACAAGCTGTAGGGTGCTAGAGCATGAAATCTCAACCCTGCCAATAGACATATACCTCAAGCATAGACGGCTCCAATATATCGAGATATCAAGAAAATTGCCGGTTTATGGGACAATTTTGTTAGTATGCAGGAAGAGCAAACCCCCAAGGATCAGAATACATGATATACGCGACGGTACAAAAGCTAAGGAATTCTCGGCCTGGGAAACAATTTGTGAGAAGAACGACACAAAATACCGACAGAAATCGGCTGGAAAATTCGCAGCTTTTAAGGAATGGGAAAAATCCTGGTATAAACTAACCGCTAAGCAGTCTACTAACCATCAATCGACGGCAGATCCCAAAATCTGGATGGCAGCCAACATTTTCATAGACTATAAGACCGGAGAGATAAGAATGAACTACAGAGGAACACATATCAGTATTCACAAAAACCTTAACAGGTCCCAAAGTAGCAAAGCCATGCAGATAAGAAGTGAGCATGTTGGGTTCAACTCTTATCTGCACAGAAGACATGTTTCTGGAGTAGACAGCCCACGATTCCAATGTGGATATCTGTCCCAGAACGTCAAGCATATTATCATGGCATGCTCTAACTGGGCCAAAAGGAGAGGGAGATACTGAGAAAGGCAGAGTCTCGGTCATTTGAGGCGATGATGAATAGCCCGAAATATGTGGCAAGAATTACGAAGTGGATTCAACATGAAGGGAGATTGGAGCAGTCTCGACTGACGCTTGAAGTTGAGGCCACGATAAGGGAGAGAGAGGAGAGTAGGGGAAAGATGATCTCCTGCCAGTAACAGAGAAGTGGGCGGTATCCGCACTGGACATAACAGTGTTAGTGCACTTCATGAAGGCAACACAACTTTAAAGTGTATATAAATTGAAAATTTGAGGGGTTTTTCACCATAATGGTTTCCTCCTATGTAAATATTAGGGTTTGTAGACTCCTGCATGGGCCGTAAGGCGCCAAATGGGCCTAAATGAAATCAAAATCAAATAGAAACCCCCCTGGCCAATTAGCCGAAATCTTGGTCTCGGCGCCCATAAACGTTCCTGTCAACCTAACCATGACCTGCATCCAAAGCGATGTGAAACCGACAAGAAAGTACATATAACCCTGCGGGCTAAGTGCGCGGAGATCTCACGTGAGACATACTGAGCTCTAAATGTTTTACCTGACGTTATCTGTGAAGATATTCTGTACCTGTTTGTACTCATGTAATCATGTACAAGTCGTATTCCTATAACTATCTATATTCGTGTTATCTACGACTCGTAAACTTGTACTAGTATTAGTCGCTCCTGACAGTTGCTGTTTGCGATATTGGAACTAATCATGTTATAACTTCATAATTAGGACTTTTTGACACATTAAGCTTGCACAATAGTATTGGGAGATTATATGGTCTGTACCTGGGTGATCGGATGAAGGACGGAAGGACCTGTATTTAAAGAGAGACGGAATACTTCATAAAAATCAATCAATCACATTTCTTCACTCTGAGATAAACTTCTTAGTCCCAATTTATCAACAGTTCCAAAGTTGGCAACCTCTCGAAAATGTCAGTCCCAGCATGGTCTTCAGAGATCTGCTCCCCCCCCTGCCCTACGTCTCAACCGCTTGTCCTTCCTCAAGATGTATAACTCCATTAGAGCACCAGTTCCCCATAAACCAAGACCCCAAATTTGTATATTATGATTTAATTTCCTCCTTGCGGGTATAACTCGCGTCGTGAATATGTAGTGAGAGATGGCCGGTGATGAATGCAGCAAGCTCCTGTTTGCAATTGGGGTGACGCCTTTATCGGTCGGCGAGGCGAGATGATATGTGGTTAGATCGGGGTTATGGACTCAGAAGATAATGGTGAGTGGTGCATGGTTGAGAAGTCGTCAAATGGAGATATGTGTTGTGTTATCCATTTATTTATTTATCTTTATTTAACGTCTGGCGGATCACGCGTCAAGCGAGTAACCCTATTAAGTCCCTACTGAGACAAAAGGCGCATTGTGTTATCCATGTAACTTACCATGGTACATGCTTTAGGTCGCGTCATAGCATATGCACGTGACTGTGTAACTAAACCGTAGGGTGTTTAGTGTGTAATGCATGTTTGTTTTGTTTGTTTATTAATTTAGGTCCTAGGCTATACCCGTTATCCCCTAAGGGTCAAAGACCGATGTTCACAGCCAAGATCATATCCCTGATGAGCCAAACTTGATCCCACCGCTTGAACCACTACACAAATAGTAGCTAGTATAAAATTCGCACTGGTACAAAAATTCAACCTTTAAAAACCAAACTCCTAACCACAAAACTATCCAGCTCTGTAGATTTACCAATCTCTGGTTCGGAAACAAATCTCCTCGACTTGTCTTCCTTCCTGTCATATCATCTGTATGACTAATTTATATTGTCCCCGATGAGATCAGAGGACGAATTTGTAGATGGCAACCCAAAACAGCAGGTTTCCTTCTCAAAGATTTTGAAAAATTCGTGACACTTTGGCCCGAGAAGTTTTTGGATAAAGCCACTATGTGACGATCTCCCTC